GTTGGGAGCCGAAAGAGCCGGTTCTCTAAAAAGAGCCAGAAATCCCATCACTAGAAATTTTCCAGTCATACATCCAGATCATGACACCCTTCAGTTGTGGTGTTGGGTTGGGTGCTACTGTTATATTGTAACACTAAAATTTAGGACTAATACAGAAACAGCAGCACAGAATTAAGCTTGTTAAACTCTGGCTCAGAGTGTTAATAAGCCTGAAGTGCTTTGGGATGTTCCGCTGTACAGTGAATAGGGGATAATAATGAGTAAAGTGCTGTAAAGTTCTCAAATTGGCAGCTTATTAAAGACTCGGAGTGACGTTACTTAAATTTTACGTTCAACAGGGATGAGACCAAAAGCCTCAAATTAAAATACTATTGCAGCATGTCAGTACAGCCAGCCAAAAAAAGCAAACTAGTCTGATTTAAATTGAACCTCTGACTCCATTTTGACAACAGAAAGAAGCAGCTGACCGTCAGTCTGCCTAAATTTTCGTATGTCAGGAGACATCAGCGCTCGATCTTTCCAGGCTAGAGTCAGCTTGTGTTGGAGAACGTGTTGTTGTACGATGTTGCTTAATGTCCCAAAGGACAGATGCAACAAGCTTTTAGCGATAGTTACTAAAAATGGACAAAGAAAAACAAAGAAACAGAGATGGGTGCCCCGGCCAAAATGTAAACAAGAAGCAGACCGCGAACCAACCACACAATAAGTCATCAATTTCAGGCTGCCCACGCAAATCTAGTTCTGAGAAACTAAACTAAGCAACTAGACAGGAAACTGCAAGAGGAAGTTTCCGGGTAAATCCGCGAAGCACGAGTGATAGCGCGTGTGTGTGTGTGTGAAAGAGAGAGAGAGGGAGGGAGAGACTCAGACCTGTGGTAGAGGAAAGAGAAAAACCCTGAGATGACGCAGTCTCTGTGCGCGTGATGTCTGATAATGGGCCCCAGCTGACTGAAATATTCCAGTATTGTCAGCCAACGAAAAAAAATGCAAGTCTGCAACTTAAGTGGAAAATTAAAGTCAGCTCTAAGAGTAGTATCTGGGGCCAGATTTAGTAACGGTTTGCGAAACTTAGAATAACGTCTGAATTAGTGATGCGCGAATCATGAACAAATCGTTCAATACTCGAGAATCACTTTACTAACTCATGAATCATGATTCACAAGCCCAACTGACTCAGTGACTCATCCCTGTTGCTGTTAGCAGCAATGTATCTAGCTTATAATTGAAATTGTGGAGAAAAACACAACATCCAGTATCGTAACAAAAAAATTTCTGCTCTTAAATGGAAAAAAAAAACCTGAGTAGAAGCTCATATCAAGAAAATAGCTCCTCGGTTCACAGTAGCATCGCTCTGCTAACATGCTAACAGCACATTTGAGCTACTCACCCCCTCCCTTCCTGTGTTGAATCGTAAGCGTAAGCGAATCACTCAGGACTCGCTCACCCCCTCCTTCCTGTGCTGAATCATAGGTCGTGTCCAAATTCATGGGCTGCATCCTCCTGAGGACCCGGCCTTTGCGGTCTACGTGGGCCGGGTCCTCAGAAGTTCGGGTAGGCCGGAAGTAAACGGCCGTGAAATTGGACGGCCTAGCCTTCTGATTAGCGTCACCGCTGTTTCGGTGGAGTTTAATAAACTCAGCCGTCTGCTCCTTGCTATCTAAAATATAACAGGACACTGGAGTAAACTCTCGACTGTCTCATACTTCTGTTTAATCAGTTTTCTGTTTGACATTTAGTCAGCTGTGTAAAAACCAAGGAGGAACCCACCCGGGGGATTAATAACGTTTTATTTTATCTAATCTAATCTAATAACTTTAATCTCAGCCAAACCGATTTACTCACGAACAAACAAAACACTGAAAAAAGCCCAACAATAACATTTTTAGGTTGTCTAAGTGACTTATATATTACGTTTAACCCGAGCAGCGAAAGTCCGCGGTGATCTGAAAATGATGTGCCGGGAGTTGTGCCGTTCTCGGCCGCATCAGTAACCCTCGAGCTCCCGGCTAGCTATCGAGCTGGTGGGTAGCAGACGTCTCCGAAAACGTCGAAGCACTTTTGCAAATATGCGATATCTTGATAAACCGAGCAGATATTTGATGTTTACACAGCTACTTTCTCGCCTGAAAATATGTTAAAAGTTTATTTTGTGACCCAGAAAGATTAGTATGAGTAATTTTAAAACTTAGTAGCGGCCGCCATTGTTGGAAACTGGAGTTTGGCTGGGCCGCGCTATGAATTCTGGGATATGGTAGGCCACGAAGGACACACCCGACCCATCCTTCAAATTCGGGGAAAAGGAGGACGCATTTGTCGGCTGCATTCGGAGGAGTCTACGAATTTGGACAGCCTTCGGCGCGTCGCTGTGACGTAATCGGTCTACAAATGCGGCCTCAGGAGGATGCAGCCCATGAATTTGGACACGACCATAGAGCGATCACTCACTCACTCACCCCCTCCCTCCTGGCTCACAGCTTCTTCTTCTTCTTGGTTGGCAACCAATGTTAAGGCGCATTACCGCCCCCTGGCTCACAGCTCAGTGGACATTTAGATGAGAAAATATATATTTAACACATTTAAGGAAAATACTAATAAAATAAAAATAAAAAATAAAAATAAATGTTTATTAACCCTTGGTAGAACCTGGGACCATTTCGTGGCCTTTGCGTTTTTTAATTCCACGCCATTTCCACTGTGTTTAATGGAGTATAGCCAAATTTTCTAACATGTATTTTTTTCCCATTTTATTTTGAAATTTCAGTCGGAGTTTTTTAAATGAGCTTAAATGGCTGAATAAAAGGCATACATCCACTATCGAACCTCGTGGCCGATTTCTGCCCCATTGAAACCCATTATAAACGCTATTTTTCATACCACCATTATTTTTACAACGGTTAGTGTGATTGTCTCAGTTATGGTGCCATTTTAGAGTCCGGGCCTTAAACTTGTAATTTTTTTATTTGGCCACCGGGTGGCGCCATTGTTCCACATGTGACGCCTGCTGGAACATACACACCTTCTCCAGCGGCCTGCTCGAGAGACATACCCGGAAAAGGCAGACTAATTTCCCGCGTGCAGCAGCAGCTTGGCCCGGTGCTCGTTCCGGACCATTTTCTGCCCTTAGGATCGTTTGATGGCGCAAAATTTTTTTTAAACAACAGGAAATGACGTATTTGTTTTCACGTGGTAGCGGAAGTGTGTGCTGCAGAAACGAGAACCGTACCATATGCTCCGACGCTGAGCGAAACAAGCCAAATGCATAATTTACGAAATTTGTAAAAATGTTGCGAGTTATGAAAAGATGTTGCGTAAAGTGTATGTAGAATTGTGCGAAGATTGTGTTATTTCAAAAGATTGTAGTAAAAGATTGTGTGGCTAGATTTTGAAAAAGTTTTGGCTAAAAAACCTGCAAGTCGCGGTTGACATCTCTTGATTGCAGCAGTAACTGTACACCACGAGACAGATGGTGGCGCGGGCCTGTTGACTGCGTTGAGGGTATCTAAGCTAGGTGTTAAATCCGATAGCATAGTCCCTAATCGCTTTGAAAAAAATTGTGATATATGGTAAAAACAATAGGATTACCAAAGCATACAGGACATTAGTAGTGCAGCTAGTCCTTCCGGTGAGACGCGAATCTTTATAGCAGATCCAGATTGTTCGCTGCTTGGCTGGGTTTGACAGACGTACGTCACTCCCTTGCTTTTCTATCTGACTTATGCACAATTTTTTAGTCAATTTCAATAAAAAATGATCTAATTCTAAGAAAAGCTGTAGACGTCATTCAAAACATGCTCCCCACTCGCGGTTTGAAGCTTGGGTCCTGTAAACGTAGATGTACATAAATCACCATAGCAACTTTTTTGTGATGAAAATGTTCTTAAGTCCAAGCCTGGTTCAAAACGCCCTACAGACTGTTTCTTGGTTGTTAATGAGACATGACATGACAACAGTGAGAGAAAATGGTCAATCGTTGTCTGCGGTTTTTCAGTCACCAAATCTTTTACATTAGCTCTTTACCACATCTTTAGACAATTTTTCAAAATTTCCACAAATTATAAATTCGCACAACAATTTCAAACTTTTTACGACAACAATTTCACACAATCGCAAATTTTACATACTTTTTCACTCTCTTAAAGAAATATATGACAAGTCGAGTAGAACCGCGGGCACCCTGCCGGAGCAGGAAGCTGGCTTCGCTTGAAAAAAATTAAAAAGGATCAATTAATGTTGTGAACTTTGATCAGTATATAAAAAATACCATGTTTTTTTGAATATTTTTTATTTATGTTGGCAAAGCGCGCATGACAACCGGTATAGGTAACCGCAATGTAATAATGACTATTTCAAGGAAATATCTAATTCTAATAAAGTGGAATAAAATATTAATATATAAATTTTTTATAGCACTTTTTGGGCGTGGTCGATAGACTAGTGTGGCATTTTATGAAATGCGCTCCTGGAAAAAAAATAAAAGTGCGATCGAAATGATGTTGGTGCCAATCTTTGTCCATCTAAAGGCCTAATTATAATAACAAACAAATATTACTTCAAATGTTTTTTTTGGAAAATATTTAGTTTTTTTGTTTTTTGGGGCTAAAAAAACAGGGCGCTCATGTAATAAAACTGGGATTTAAAGGGTTAAAACAATGAAAATATAATTAAAACTTGACATGGATATTTTAAGCAGAAGTAGTTTTAAAAGATTGACTAATTTAAAGTAGAAAAAAATATTGATATATAACATTTTTAGAGCACTTTTGGGGCGGGACCATTTTTGGTCCCGAGGTTCACGAAAGGATGGGATTTTGAAGTTCTACAAAGGGTTAAGCAATTTTGATAGGAAATTGCTTAATTTTAGAAATGTTTTTGCTCTTTTTTGCTCTATATAATAGTTGTTTTCTTTTAGAATCACTCATCTTAGCAGTAGGATTTACATGAAAAGAGAAACAAATTAAGTTTGAGTGAAAATGTACATTTTTTGCACTCTCTGGTCAACTGACTCAGTGAATCAAATGACTCAAAAAACCCGATTCACTTTGGTGAGTGACTCATTAAAACTCGATTCAGTAAAAAGAATCAAATTTACCATCACTATCCTGATCATTTATAATAAAGAACTAAATCTGTACATAATTCCTGTGGATTTTGTATTTAGTCTTGAGAAACAGCCTCAGTGGTGAGCAGTTCAGTGACAGAAGGACGTCCTATCTCGGGAGACAACGAGACAGGAGACACAAACGTTGAGCACAGGATAGCGGAGTTCGGAGCCTTGCCCCTGCGGGGATTTTATTGTTGTTTTCATGTGAAATAATTTATTTTTTAGAAACTTAGTTTTTATATTCTTTATTGCCTTGAATCCTCCACTGATCTTCCGGTTTTAGAAGGGTTTTTCTTCACAGAGAACACCTCATGACAATCCCAAGGTGTTGTAGGCATGTCACGATTTGAACTTTATTCTCAACATCAACTTTTTTTTCTTCTTAATTTGCCCCTAATAATACATCGTAACATTCACTACAGACTGAATATGGGTTATTTTTATCTACCCAGGATAAATAAACTTACTGCTGTGGTGAAATAAAGTTTCTAAAAAATGAGTCAACACTACACGTGAGCAAAAACAACACAGAAAAACTCCACAACTGCGTGGAATCCCCCCCCACCTCATATGTAAGAACCACTTAATGTAATTTTCTTTTTATGACTTTAAAATACCAAATGCACACTATAGAAACAGCTCGTGTTACTCTCTTTACAGCATGGCGGATGGTGCGATTATATATTTGCTTTCTCTTCTAATGGTCTGTTCTGAAGGTAAGCTGTGTTCAGTATTCTCTGTTTTGTTTTTAAAGCTGTTTTGTGGATGGGAGAAGAAAAAACGTTTCACTCGTAATTATTAGAAACTGATCTCAAAGAGGTCACAAGTATGATTTTTGTTTTTCATCTGAAGCCATGAGAGATTCTATACGAACAGTGGAGACATTAGATTTTATTTCTGTGAATATGGATTATTTTCATTAAGCGTTTACTGCAGCTGATGCTCCACACGGAAGAAAAAACTGTTCTTAATACTGGTTTAATGAACATGTTTGTTAATTAATTTTCTCTTCCCATATTTTTTTTACTCTACAACATTATCACTGGAGTATACCCAATACACCATTCTAGTATTCATTAAAATCTTCAGCAGTCAGGAGATGTTTGGTACAGTATGAGTATTGTTCATTTTGTAAAAACATAATGTTTAATTGATTCCCACTTTTTATGTTAGATAACAAAATATGAGATAGGCCATTTTCATACTACAACTAAGAATTACTATTATCATTATTTTTTCCCTGTCCTGTCCAGAACTGTAGTAATCAGAATTACTGTCTGAAAGCCAAGAAAAATGGCCAACAGATTTATTTTGCGAAGTGGACCTTATGCTATACTGGTCCACTTGATTGTTATACACTGTAAAAAAAAAAAATACAGTACAATCTACTGTATAAACGTGAAGGAATTTTCCGTATTAGTCATTTACAGGTATTTTTCTGTATGTCTTGACTACTGCAATGCATTGTGGGAAAAAGAACCCGAAAAGGAGGGAAAAGTAAGAGCAAAAGCAGCCATTAGGCTTCTTTCAGGCTTCATCTGGATTTTGAACTCTGGAGTTGGAGAAACTGCTTTAAAATCTCTGTGGTAAGTATTAAAACTCATGTTTTCTTTTATTAAAATAATGTTTTTAAAAAGACTCCGTGTTTTTATTTAGAAAGAATTGTTAATTTATTTGTTAACTGGTTTCGGCTGTCTCCAGACAAGTCAGGAATATTTTGCTGACTCATTTTTTAAATAATCGTTATTTAGGTTTAACATGAC